GATCTTCCAAACTTTTCATTATTTGAATTAAAAATCCCGCTCAATATTTAAATCTAAAATTAATTCTTTGAATTCTCTACATAATATAAATTTTCAAAAATGCGCTCTTATTTTAAAACTCAGTTAATAATTTATCCACTACTTTTTTATCATAAAATTTTGGGGCTTGTAATTATAGGTGTCTTTTCTTATGGCGAAAAACATCGGTCGTATTCATGAACCAAACGATCTATCAAGTGAAATCCAAAACACAAATGATGTCGCTCATAATGGAAAACATATTGACGTACAGTGCTTTCCTCTTGCTTCTTATATCGCGGCGCTAAATGTCACCACAGTTGATTACTTCAGTCTGGATGTTGAAGGAAATGAAATGGATGTTCTCCAAACCATTCCGTTTGATAAAGTCGATATAAAAGTATTTATCGAATTATCCGTTTAATTAATTGCAAAAAAAATTCCAGAAATAAATCGCTTCTTCATTATTATTATTATTATTATCATTATATATAACTTTAATTTCAGACGCTCTCTGTTGAATATACACACGTGAAATCCGGTAAAGAAAAAATGGTAGAATTCATGTCAAAAAATGGGTACTATGTTTATTCATTTGTAAAAAAACCCAATAATCTGGCAAATGACATTATATTTGTAAAACGTGACTCATAATTTATTACATTATAATATATTACTTGTTTGTTAATTTTAAATGCAAAAGCTAATGTAATTTTTGTTATTTATTTCATATTAAAAATGGTTAAAGTAAACAAATTGTGCTGCAGATTCCTAATTGGTAATTATGTTTCATTTATTGTATTATGATTTTTTCTCCTTAGTGTTATTTACTGATTTACATAAATCATTATGATACATTGCCATTTCTCGAGTCATAAAAACTTTACTAACTGTACATCTGTAAATATCATCTTCGATTATCATAAACGAATCGTGACACCATGTACATATTGCCAGTATAGCTAAGCCCGTTAAAAATATCAACACACTAACGTATACCATCACCATTTTTTATAGTAATAATTTTTAATTTTCAGCGTTCAAATTTATTCCAATTATTCGCTACTAAATAATAGTTAATCTAAATAATAAATAAAATTTATTAGAATTAATAATGCAAGTGTTAGATGAATCATAATAAATTTTTTTTATCAAAAAAATAAATGAGTCAACAAATCTAATTTATTATATGAGTTCGTTAAAATCTACTCTTATAATTTAGATGAAAAATACGAAAATATATATAATTCTATACTAACATTATTCAGACGCGCGCTTACGCGCGCAACGTATGCTAGTAAGAATTTAATTTTAATAAAATTTTTCTAGTGCATTCGCTATAAATGAAGTAATTACTAAAAATTAGTTTCAACCCATATAGCATGCAAATCTTTTTCAAGGCTTGAGCAAGTCTGGTCTCAATTTCGATAGTTGTTAGTGTCTTTTTCTACCTATGGGTCTTGCTCCAGATACTTGTAGCAAATTCAATTGACAAGTCTTGAACAAGCCTTGTACAAGAACTTTCGGCCAGATTATAGCTCAAGAATTGTGGAAGAAAATTGAG